AAAAAGGGGGGGGGGGGTCACAAAGAGTAAATACTGAGGGTCATCTTTGAAACACTTTAGAAATCGTTTTGTACGATTGACAGTACTAGTAGGTCCTGGATTGAGGAGAAGACTTGAATGAAAATGATGTCGTCATTCTCTTGCTTTCCTGCCAGTTCGTGTTTCAAGTTCGGACACGAGTTAGTTTTCAATGTTCGCACAAACAAGTTGCACTAAAGATACATCCCAAGACCTGTATTTCACATCGAAAAACCAATACCCAGCTCTGAGCAGATTACCTAAGAGAAATAGAAGTAATTGAAACATTATAGCTAGAGGTACATCCTTCATTCCACTACACAGTTTATTGCTTCATAATTATTACCGGAAAGAGACAGAGGCCCAATGTAAACTGGGGTGTGCTCGCACATATAATCGTTGATTTTGAAGGCTGAAGGTCATGTTTCACATCGTATCTGTAACAGATCTGTAGAATTATTTCGTTATCAAGATAAGTATCATAATACAATTATAACAAGAATTCTGAGATTTCATACCTCCATGAAATATATGAGTTTTTGTAAATGTTTTTTGTCTCATTGACTATGGAGATAAGGTCGTAATCTAGTTCAATCTAGTTCAATCTAGTTCAATTTATGGTTTTCTAAAAAAATAAATTCAAATTACAATATTTTTTATGTAAAATTCCTCTCCTTTGTCATACTTTATTTCAACACGTCCTCATTAATTATGCAAATGACCTCAACATTAACATAATATAGGCATAGGGATGTTAACCTTTAAGGTCTCGGACCGGAGTTTTCTGCTGTGTTCGTAGTGAATTTGTCACCCTCAGCCCGACGGGCTGTCATGTGTATACTAAACGCGGGTCGGAATTTTTCACTCTTTTGGTGGAAAGGGGTGCCGTCCCGCTTATCAATACACGTGATTGATATTTTGTGCGCCCAATTTATTTAGGGGTAAACAAGGCATGTCAAAGTAAATTTGTAAGTGAGGGGTCCCTTTTCTCGTCATTTTTCACACATGGCTGCATGGAAAAAACGAATTTCCCAGGGTAACGGCTTACTACTCGAAGAAGCCCGGTACCTAATCTTTCCGATGTCAGAATTTAATTAAAATCGATGCGATAAGTTTACCGCTATCTTCGATGACCCAAACACACCCACAACACACGTAGAACACACCGTCCCTGTGATCAGGCGAAAAGGCTACACTATCATCCGCGCGGACTGATACCAGGAAGTCTCCGCTGGACCACCAAGATTACGCCACTTATAAAGGCTACAACTAACAGGCTTTTCAGAAAACAGAAAGATATGTACACAGCTATTACGATATTAGGGATACCGTGGCCAAAACATACCATACAAAGTCACGTTTCCGGCGATTTACTGCGCACTTACTTAGACTCTTGTCAGAATCAAACTCCGACCCGGAACCTTAAGTACACATGTCACAAGGTATAAAATTCCCATCATTCACCTATAAGAAGTCACAGAATTTTTTCCATTAATTATGCAAATTAGGTCATCATTTGCATAATTGGTATCTTTTGATGTTCCATCAAACTTACACCGCTTATTCCTGACAGGATAAGCTATCTGTCACCAAAAAATCAAGACCATAGCATGTTCAGGACAAAAGATTCAAAAACCGGAAGTTCTGCTGCAGTACCAAGGTCGGCCACCAGGAAGCCCATATTTGACCTTGACCTTTGTCTTCCTAAGACCTACCAAGGTACCAAATATCATCACAATCCATAAAGGCGTTCTGAAGTTATTGTGCGGAAACACAAACACACAGACACACACACACACACACACACACACACACACACACACACAGACGCGCCAAAAACAATACCTCCATTTTTCATGGAGGTAAAAAAAACTAAAATGCTGCCTTTAGGAGTTAAGTTCCTTTATTTTTTTTAAATAAATAAATAAGGAAAGGAGCAGATCTGGGAGAAAGAGCGATCAGTCGAATATAATCTCCAACTAAACTTGGCAGTGGTCTTACATTGTAAGCTTAGGAAGGGATATGTTTCTTTTTCGAAAACACGATGACTTACACGTACCTGTTGATAGTGAACGATTTTCCGAGATCCACCCGCCAGCTGGGGTTGTAATGAAACCAAGTGTGTGTACAGGAGTTAACAGAGTAATTAGTATTGGTGTTCCCGTCCACGGCACGTCCAGCAACACCGCCGTTTTTAACGGATGACTGGATCGCCGGCTTCCTTAGAGCGATGTTGATATCCGCTCTATACATACTATTAGTCAGGGCGACTGTTAGACAAAACAAGAGAAGTAGTAAGTTTTAGTAAGTTTGTGTTTAATTTCACTATCGTAACTCAAAGGTCTTTAAAATGAGCAATAATGGGACCACTCTAACAAGAGCATTTTTGTAATATTTGCAGATGAACTTGAATCATTCAGGTCACAGACTGTAACTTGTTCTTAATCGTATTACACGTATAGCACTTCCTCATAAATTATGCAAATGAGGTCATGATTTGAATAGATTATGTTTATTGAGTTCACCTTCACTTAATTTCCAAATGCGGCAAGTATGAAATTCCCAGCTGTTACTACTATGAAATTATAGCTATTTGCCATTAATTATGCAAATTAGGTCTTCATTTACATAATCTATACCCTCAAATGTTTTTTCTCTTTCTCAATTACATGTGACAAGTATTTTATAGTCCTATTATCGAACGAAGCAGATGTATAGTATGTCCAGTATGCAAATTGGCTCCTGGTTTGCATAATGCATTGTCATCCAATCATGTCAATTACATCACTTCAGCCACCTACATCCGTCAAGCTGTTCTTGAGTTATCTTCCTTCGAAGATTTTTCAACAACCGCTCCTTCAGTTCCAGAACAAGCCGCTAGGGGGGGCCAAACTCATGTCACTAATTAGCTATCAACCATCCAAAATTCCTGACCCTAGATAATGATACTATTCCCCACTGTTGTAGTATAAGAAAATTGAAGATTTTACCTGAAGATCCCTCATGCCTTGTCCAGTCAAAGTCATCTTTAGAGTCCTGAGTCCATCCACACATGTCCGTCTGAAAGTCACAGTCAAACACACCTGGAGGCGAAGAAGAAACCGATATGTCATAGCATGTATTGTGCATAGGCCTCTTCAACTGTATCGGTTCTTACTCACTGCATTCCAACAGTTAACTGATTTGACTATTTTTAAACAATGAGAGGTTGGGTGATCAAACAGCCATCCCAACGCTGTGTTGCAAAGGGAATAAAAGACTTTTGTTATCGAGTTGTGACACAAGCGGTAGCCGTAACTTGTGTTTATAGTAAATATTATAATATGAGAGGTATTGACAAAAACGTAGAGAGTGATCAAAATTAATGTCGTTTGAGTAGGGTCCTTGTTTGAGTAGAGCAATACTTTAGGCATTATAGAACATCAATAAACATGTTATGTACCGATGGTATTAGCGTATACCTACCCCTGCAGCATGGTTGTATGTCCCACAGAGGCCCCTCACACAGCGTACCGTTGTTCCTGGGCAGAGGGTTGTCGCAGGTGCGAGACCGTGTCCAGTACCCCACACCACAGCTGCAGCTGGTGTAATTAGCGCTCCACGCCGACCAGCCTCCGTCTTCTGAATCAGTCAGACATAACAAGTATTATACTCACTCAAGTGTCTGCCTTATGGAAGTCTACAACACTGAATAACCAACCATTCTTGAACATAGACATAGACGGGAGTCGGTGCACACTTCAACCACTTTTCACCTCGGTTGTACACGTCACTAAATTCACCAGGTTAACACCGGGTCATAGGAGGTGGTTTGAAGTCTGTAGCAGCCCCCTCCTCTGCCCAAGGAAGGTTGGTGGTTCCGCGATGTAGACTGTACTATCATCACCAAAAGATCTCCCTAAATAAATAATCTTAGATATCAGTGTCTTATATGACAGTAATAAATATAATTTTGGCGGACATCCTTAACAACAACGTCGATAGATAAAGATCCATTCCGTGAATCTTAGAATACCAATACACAAACACTAACTACATTAAATACATGCATACACATATCTGCACTCCACAATTACATGTACTTTCTTGTTCGCGTTTCAAGAACAATGAAAGGGCAATAAAACTGTACAAGGTTGAACACATACGGTTCTATATGTTGTGTTCCACTATACTAGTCCAGAGTTCGCTAACCTTACTGAGTTTTGTAAGAAAAAAAAACATTGTAGCTAAGTTATGACCTAGGAACAAAATGTGTGTGCATACATAGCACATGGCGCACATATGACATATTGTTGAAGATATGACGTGACCTACCCTTTAACAAACACATTATGTCCGGTGTGTCATCCGGCTTACAGGTGCAGAGTGGACAGGACCGGCCTTGTGTTTGGACAGTTTCACATGAACAGGTCCCCCTGGGGACGGGACACGGCTCGTCTGCGCCCGAGACGGCAGCGGTGAGCTGGACCGCTGCCAATAGCAACAAAGCGTGATCATCAACAGCCTGACAGAATCTCACCAAAACACTGGGTCAATTTTACAAGACACGTACCTACCACTTCTAACCTCTCGAGAATAGATCTAGACCGGTCACATGGCCCCACCAACACCCATCAGAACATATGCAGCCCCTCACCTGTTGGATGAATTGCTAATTGCCATACTAAACCTTTCCAATAATAATAGATGCTGAAATACAATAAATAAAATACTGGCATCATTTTGTAAACTTGCCCGAAGACACCTTACTTCGTGAAGCATACAATGTTTTATATTCTGGTAAACACGATTGGCTTAACCACGTAAATGACATTCTGAATTACAATGGTCTTGGACAATTCTGGACAAACCCCGGGTCATACCAAGTGGATACGATAACCAATCAATTACGATCCCGCCTTCAAGATATATATATATACAAAAATGGTATAATTCTATTAGTAACAACGCAAAACTTCCTGTTTATACCGCATTAAAGGAAAATTATGGACAAAAACAATACCTCTCAAGTATACACAATCTAGATATCCGAAAAGCAATCACAAAATTAAGAATTAGTTGTCATAAATTAAACATAGAAATAGGTCGATACAAGAAAATACCAAATGACCAAAGGTTCTGTCCATTTTGTCCAAACATGATTGAAAATGAGCACCATTTTATAATGGACTGTACACTATATAATGATAAGCGCTTATTGCTGTTCACCTTTCTTTCCGCTTGTTCAATTGATTTCAATACGTTAGATCCTATAGATAAATGCAACTACATTCTCATGGGAGATAACCAATACAATGTTCACATAGGAAAATACATTAAAGAATGTTTCGATCTTAGAGAACACATGTTAGAGAATAGTTAACACCTTTATTGTTACATTATACATGTACTCTGTACGTAAGTTGACGTTATCCACACATGTATTTAGCTTTGTTAGATCTTTAGTTAAGTTGTAGAAGACCATACAAAAGTCTCTGTACTTTCTGTTGTGTCAATAAAGAATCTGTACTGTCATTGGCTGAACTGCTAATTGCCATGCTGTCATTGGTTGAACTGATAATTGTGATGGACAGTTAGAGAGTAGCCTCCTTCGCAGTCTTGTTGGAGCGCGAATCCTTCTCTCGGCGGCAAAAACCCTCGGCAGCAAATCGTCCCTTGCGGCGGCATATTACTCGCGTCGCTCACAAAAATAACGCCCACGCCCAACAAAACTGCGAAGGATGCTAGTTAGAGTGGGTGTATCACCACGAAATGGTCCAGCCTGTTGCGTGGCTTTCACACCTGCATATGATGATGTTATTTCGGGGTATAATCCCATAACAAAAGTCACCACACCAAATTGGTCTCCACCCATGATCCCCTTTTTGTTGTCAACACGAACCCTTCAGTATAAGTGTATCCGTACACGGTGCGTCTTATATGGGATTTATTTTAAATCTCCTATTCCATTAATGTAACTATAGAGTTCGAAGAACATATGCCTTCGCCATGTAAAGACTTTTTTTAATTTTCATTTTCACAACAGCTACTCATAGTCATATGCCACATATCTGATTCAATACGATTCATCCATGACGTTGACATACATGTACATACAGACCCACACCACAGCCACTACACCAAATAATGAGGAAACATACCAGCTGACGAAGGCAATAACGTGCCAGCCTCTATTGTTGTAGATATACGTGCGACAATGTTATTGTGATATACGATGTTTTTGTGATATACATAATCCCATAATAAAGGGTAGCAAACCAATTTAGTGTAAGTGCATTCTCTAGGCCTGACGCATGGTAAATGTAGTAGTGGCTGAGGAAATATGTATCTTCTAAGTTTTGAAAGTCACCCTTTTATTCTAAAATGGAGTGACTTTGTAATGTTTTGATTCCCCAGAGAGCAATAATGTCTTCCGAACTATTCTGAAGCAAATTGTAGCTTTGAAATTTGTACTTCATCGTTATCTTAGTTACCATAGTAACAAAAGAAGTATCCTGCTTATCCTCTTTTCAGACTAGCCTGTGTAGTACTGACCGATACTCCGTGCTTTAGAGGTGTTAAACCCCGTTTTTTTCGACGTAAGTAAATGATTTAAAGAAAAGACGCTACAGGGCACATTCTGTTGTGTTTACCGTCGTTTCCTTCCTGCACGAAAACAAACATGCATACTGTTGTCACTGTTGGCTTCTCCTATAGTCTCTCTAGCCACCAGGCTAACGACGCGGGTTAAACACAGTAAAATTAACAAAAAATAGCTAGAACAATTGGCCATGGAACATGTAGGTTCGCCACCTGGGACATACTCTGGTTAAGTAAATAAACTTGAAACGTTAAACTTGCCACCATAGACTTCATTTGGCCGCGCAGTTATCCTTTCTGCGTACTGACTCTCCTGGCGAATCATTCCTCCCTCCTTTCTTGCCCAATTCTACGATCGCAGCTAGAAAGGCCTCGTGGAGGCTAGAGTTCTTGCATTTACGAGAGCACCTTACGGCTGCAACTTTGTCAACATTGACGGCAAATACTAGTATTGCTGATGCTATCTGAATACACATTTCGTTTGTTTTTCCTGCTCTTTAAGGTAACGTATTCCACCTTTATTCTTGTTGGTTAATTCATTAATTTAGTACCACTTGGTGGAGCTGTTTCTTTTTTTTCCACCTTCATCCTCACGCACAGAAAAAGGTAGACAACTGTTTTCTAACTCAATATCGTCTCATACCAATGACGAGAAAAAGTAATGAAATGTACCATTACTTAACATGCATATGGTCGCTAAGTCTAGTTAACATAGATGTTGTTTATTTTCGAATGTTAACATTTATTGCTGTCATCCAGCGCCCCACAAAATCATGCTGAAACCCTTCTGTATTTTTTTAGTTAACTCCACTGCCGCACGACGCTAAACTTAGCTTGGTGTACCAGCAAAATTTCCCCATTAAAAAAATGCATGAAATAGCGTTTCAGAGGTTTGCGGTTTCAAAATTTTCCGGGGGAGCATTCTCCAGGACCCCACCAGAATGGCACTCGCGAGGGGTGCGAATTCGGTCAATATCAATATCTGGTCCCCGATGAAAATTTCGTGCCTGCATCTCTGGAAAAATGTTCTTACCTGCCGTCAGTAGCAGCAGCCAGCACCTAGCCGCCGGCCCCGGGCGGAGCCGCATGGCCTGGAAACAAGTTACCTCACACCGTCACCATCCACCGGGTATGTGTGTGTGTGCCCCGCCGTCGCAGAAAAACTAATGACGTGTTGGGAGATAGAACAGGAAGTTTCACAGAGCTTCAATCATCAATTATTCAATCGTGCTTTAAGATTCGCGAGGTACACGCGAAATTAATGAGTCACCATTTGCGAGCAAATACAAAAAGTGTCATCCTTTCCTTTACCTTTTTATTGGCTGACAAGTTCAGGTACGTTTGACCGCAATCGTAGAATACTTCCACAGATTATTCCACAAATTATCTTGGCACTAGTCGTTCAAGAATATGTCATTTTTAAACAATAAGTGGAGGGTAGGGATATTGCCCAGAAAATGTCTATAGCGTGCACACCTTCAGATGGAGTGTGTACACTGTAACCACTCGATCAGGTTTGATTTACATGATATCAGACTTCTTTAAACATTACATTCGTGCAATATGCTACCAAATTAACATTTGATATCATGATTACATTGTGATAATAACATGTACATTGTGATAATAACATGTACACTGTAATTTTCCATTTCTAGTGCCGCTTACAATGAAGAAAAACTTTCTCCAACTGGAGGAAATACGGTGTTTTACCTTTGGCTAGTTGCCATGTTCTACCAGGTCTTATAGAAATGCTTGACTCATAATTCAAACAAAATGCTCCCATAGTTGGCATCCAATTTTTCCTGTCTTTAAGATATCTTAACAGCTCATTTATCATATTATCCAATGTTAATATATATGAATGAATTATATATCCGTTTTCGCTTGTGGTTTGTCCGTACGTATATCCACACGCTGGACAAACTGCAGGACAAGAAGTTAGGTCAAAGGTTCCAGAAAGGTCCCAGAAGAGGTTATCTCATTTCCTGCTACATGTATATTTACCTATTGGGAAAAAGACTAGCGATTGACAGTTAATAATGAATATAAAAGAATAAATCCACATAAACCCTGATGTTTCATGGAGGTATGGAATCTTCAATGTCTTGTTTATTACTGGGGTATGTTTTAAAAACAAACAAAGGCAAGTGGAATGTACTTACCAGCACATGTTTTTACAAATCTGTAAACGACAAGATTTTCAGGAAAGCATGTAAGTTGATAAGGAGTGTACAGGAGAAACCATTATTACAAGAGTAATCAGTAGAGCAATAATTATAAGTACTGGCAACTGCTACACATACAATGACTGGCACAGCTGCATCTTGACAATACATCATGACAATATCTCTAAAGTGTATACTGAGAATCTGCCTTGGTGAGGAAGTTGATACAATAGCTTATTCTGGAACTACAGGTACTTGTTACACAATGCCATGCACACACATTGAATATTACACAAATTGCTGTGGATGCAGTTATGCAACCCTCCTCTAGAGGGCCACTCTAGCTGGTGTTTGCTGGCTCTTGCCTTTGTTCCTGTGTCTTCCCATAAGTTCACAACTATGAGCAGGGTGTGTGGAACTCTAGTTTTGGCCCAATATAAATTCTATGCGCAAAGTACGATACAGGGGTTTTAAAAATTTAAAAAATACAAATAATCAACAAGTCAGGCATGGATGACCATTGTAGCTTTCTCAAATACTGTAAATCACTTTGTGTTCCTGGTAGCAAAAGTTCATAGTCTGAGAAAAATGGACAGGTTCGCGTAACCATATGCTCAAGGTAGCGACCGGTACAGTAAAGTTGGCAAATTATTTGCTAATGGTAAGGATAAGTTCATGATACAGAAATAACTGCAAATATAAAAGTACAGTGAAAAAAATTATGATTTACAGTTATTTTTCCATGTATTTTTTTAAAATGCCATGAGTGTTTGGGTCTCTACAAAACCTAACTTCTTGAGGTGCCCTCAAGTTCGTCTTGACTCTTGGTACAAATAATTAAGTCATGTTAGATTATTTCCAATATAGTTACCTGATGTCTGGTGTTATGCACTATAACTAGAGTTGGTACATATAACTCTTGACCATGTACTGTACAATGTGAAAATCTCATCTTCCAGTTACTGACACTGTCAGAATCTACTGCACAATAACCAGTCTACCAACAATGTACTAACACAAACAGCACAATGTACCACTTACTGCGCAATCACACTCATCATACCAACTTGATGCTGTGGAATTTTCAAGCAGGCTGTGACAGCACCAAATGCTGGCAAGGATCTAAGACAGCCTTTTCCATGTCAAGACAGCTGAATGGAGAAATCCATGACTATCCCAAGAATGCCCTCATGATTAGTTTCTGATCTGACTTTGCTCTTACTCACTACAGGGGCAACAAAGACATATTACCTAGTAGATGTACATGTACGTATACAATCATGAGGTGGATGTGCATATCAACATAATACAATCTCAGTTGTCTCTACGTTTCAATGTAGCATTGTCAGATGTTTAGGATGTCATGTCATCAGCATCCTCTGGTCCAAAAAGTATATCTAACTTGCACAGTGGGACACTATGTCATAGTTGGAAGCTACCATAATCATATACATGTATAAGGTATACATACATGTACATGTAGTTGTTCTTCCCACTAATCTGCATCCAACATACATAATTGTATTCATTCTGACGGTCCTACATGTATGTAGGCAATCTTCAGCTTGCTACTTTTACTGTGGAATTTAGTTTGTATACAGATGACTTTATCTATATTGTACGGTCTGAAGAACTCACGACGCTGCGTAGTAGATAGACAGTTTCTATTTAGTACCAAGAACAGACTACTTTATCTACATACTCATTACTTACACCTGCATTCAGCGCCAATCCTATTTCCATATCTGCAAGTTTCAAGTTTTTGACTGAAGTGGCCAGATAAGATCAGTCTTAGTCATCTAAAACATATGAATTCAAACCATAATGTTGATATAAATATCACAATTACATGTAAGTAAGTGATGCTAGTATGTGGCTATTGTATTTTCTATCGTGGCCACATCCCCTTGTTATACGGCAAACAGTCTTACTGCAGTAGTAAGACATATACGTTGTGTACTACAGTGGTAAAACATAAAGTGATACAAGGTTTTAGAGAATTCTGCAAATTTGTGTGTATATGAGGGAGGTCTGTTGGTTGCTACTTGAGCTTGTACTATGTCCATTGACCAAGTTTTGTGTTTACATATTTTGTTCTTCGTCAACTATCAGGAGTGTGTAAAAAAGGGCATTAAAATCAAAAACCAAAACTCCTCTCACAATACCGCATTTCAAGCAATAATAAAAGAAATGCTAGATGGGCTGTTGAAGTTTCTTGCTGGTGACAAATCGTCTGGCTTCTTTCTTCAGATGCTTCAACTCCTCCATCTCCTCATCATCAGGCTCCCAGTCAGAGTCTTCGTCCTACAGGTGGCAAGGTGGTCTGTGGTTAGGGTTGTTGACTCATAGATCTTAAGGCAATAGGTTTCAAATCCCTGACAGGCCCCAGTGTTGTGCCCTTGGGAAAGGCACATCTATTTCCTCACTCCACTCAGGTGAAAATGAGTATATAGCTTTTGTTAGGGATGTCCTCTTGGATGGGACTTAAAGCCTCTCATGTTTAAGGAGAGCAACACATTAAAAATCCCAATACACTCTTTTAAATCTAATCAAATCAATCAAAAAGAGTAGGTAGTGAGTCAGTGGGAGTGGAACAAACTTAGTACAGTTCACTCTTATGCAGCTCGTAATTATTACTCAAAACTGGTCACGCCTATGGGCAGTTTACCAGTTAAGCAAAACAAACTAACAAACACAATGAAGCAAGAAAGAAGAGCTATTTTGGACATCCTGGTAATGAACACACAAAGGCACATCTTGTTTTTAAAGTCTCTCAACAAACAATAGGCCCCTCCCAAAATTTTTCATCTAGAATCCAAAATTCACCATCTTACTTCTGAATCAGTATTTCTTGCATTTTTTTTCAACATTCTTTTCATTTCCTGCACACTTTTAGCAAAGATAGAACAGTTTTGTGCATCAAGGACATTTTCCTTTCTCCTAGCCAGCATAATCATCTGAAATGGTTCACCTGGCCTGCTCCATAACTGGATTGGTCCGACACTTCCTCGTCCTCATCAGCCAGGAAACTGTCATTGTAGTCGTATGTGTTGGGCAGACCATCATCATCACTCTCTCCCTTCATCGCACTCTTCCCGGAACCTCCTATCACGTAAACAGTGGAATCATTCAACATTATAATGGTGTGCTGCAGAATCATGTCTGTTGGCAACAGTTCTGCACTGTAGAGTGTAGGTGTTCTGTACTGAGTGTAGTTGTTCTGCACTGAGTGGAGGTGTTCTGCACTGAGTCTAGTTATTCTGCACTGAGTCTAGTTATTCTGCACTGAGTGTAGTTATTCTGCACTGAGTGGAGGTGTTCTGCACTGAGTGTAGTTATTCTGCACTGAGTGGAGGTGTTTTGCACTGAGTGTAGTTATTCTGCACTGAGTGTAGTTGTTCTGCACTGAGTGGAAGTGTTCTGCACTGAGTGGTGGTGTTCTGCACTGAGTGGAGGTGTTATACACTGAGTGGAGTTGTTCTGCACTGAGTGGTGATGTTCTGCACTGGGTTGAGGTGTTATACACTGAGTGGAGTTGTTCTGCACTGAGTGGAGGTGTTCTGCACTGAGTGGAGGTGTTATACACTAAATATTAATAGCTCTCTTCACTAACCAGTTCTCTGAGCAACCTTTCGCTTGGGTCTCTCTTTTTCTTCATCATCATCATCATCATCATCATCTGGATCATGAGTGTGTTTGAAGTCTTTCTTGTGCTGAGGATTTTTCCTGCAAGAGCAAGATAGATGTCACTGTAACCTCCACTATTCAGTAACATTATACACAAAAAGGTAGACACTTTTGTCCTGCACTTTTTATCCTTTTGGAGGACTGTCTGCAATGCTAAAGATAATTCAGCAAGCGCTTTTCTTCTTGAGTTATGCAAGATATGGACTGTAAAAAAGGCTGATGAAGAACTACTGACAGCATTCAAGATGTCAAAAGCCATTTTACACATACTGACATCTCGAATACTAAGTTTGGTGCCGAAAGCTCTCTATCCTAGCTGATCTCTAACAAGACAGTTGAGATTATTGGGCCATGTACTTAGACAGCCAGCAAAGTATAGTACATAAGCTGCATCAGGATTTCCTGAACGTGACATGTGTGTGGAAGACAACCAAAACTGAAAAGATTGGTGGTTGGTTCTGTTGCTGCCCACTTGAAAATCCTATAGCATTAAAATGGTACAATGACCTGCGAAAAATGTGAGTGCACCATAAGATATATTGTTCTAGTCACCTGTAACATTTGATGCCAAATTCACACTCAGGTCTCTCGTCGTCCTCCCCATCCCCCCTGTCCTCCTCCTCAGAGTTGTAGTCTGAGTCCCCGGGGTGAGAGAACTCTTTGAAGTGGGCCACGTTCTTCCTGAAGTATACAGCATGAACAAATTATACTATATTCAGATATTATATTCACACTTTGTTCCACATAACTGATGAGCCACCTTTAGACATACCGGTAACACACCTTTAGACATAACAGACCGGACTGTTTGATCCACTCACACCAAAAGTCTGGTCTTACACAGCTAGTACATGTGCTTACTGTAGATAATTGTTGTGTTAAACCTACTCCTAGTAGTCTCTTACTCTTTTTGTTAAGTATCGTGAGGTCTTAATCATGCTCAAGGCATGGCTTTCCTCAAATATGGGGCCTCTGGCTTTACATGCATTTCAAGAGGATGCCTTTAAACAAAGTTAAGTACCCATATTGGCCACCCTAGAGTTGTAGATACAGGTTGATCCAAAGGCCTTATCCACCACTTTGAAATTCCTTTAAGTTAGAATTCTAACATACTCCTGTAACTGTCTTCTCTTAAAATATCAGCATTGACAATATTCTAATTTTCTAATTACATGTTTAAACATACATGTAATGTATAAAACATCAAGTTTACTCTAATTTCCAAGCTGACACTATATGTTGAGAAAAACGGACATTATATTGTGTTCTGTAGTAAATATAGTACAATATAGTAACAGTACATGTTACTAGTCCTGTTACTTGTAGTAGACTCCACTTCAGAAATGTTGCCCTGACCTGTAGCAGTTCTTGCCATAAGAACAAGGTCGCCGTCCTGTCTTCTTGGCTGGTTTTCTTGTCTTCCTCCCCTCCTCTTCACTCTCATCACTCCCGCGCCTCGTCCTTCTCTGTGTCTGACAGGGAGGTTTGGATTTGTGAATATATAATGAAGAAGACCTTTATTGCACATTTTTGTCACACTTGGCTAAGTACAGGAAACAACAAAACAAGATGAACAGATACAGTTACAAAGGCAACTAACTATCATTATATAAATTCAACTTCTCCTTGATTTTCAGTTATATAATATAGCCAACCTTGTACTAAAGACTACCTAGAGCATAAGGACCACCTGGCCATTTATAATATTCATATATAACATGTATGTACAGTGAAACCTATCCAAATGACCACCTCTACATAAGGACCACCTGGGTATTGATATACATGTACAGTCAAACTTGTACTGGCGACCACATTTGCATAAGGTCCACCTGTATGTAAGCTCCCATTGTTTGCAGGTACACTGATCCAAAGGTGACAAAGTTGTATACAAGCTGGGAGCTCACTATGTGGTGATGTCATGAAAGTCCCTGGATATGGTGACATTTTAGGATTTGGCAAGGCAATAAGGTCAAACCTCTGTCAGAAATGTTAACTATGATGGACCAGTGTAGAGACAGAAAAATGACTTGGTGCTAAGTACAGTTCAAGGCCATTATACTACAGGTATAATGTCCTTGGTACAGTGTATCAAACAAGGTGTCCTAGAGATCTCTGATGTTCCCTTTTAAGGACTCCGCCCACCTTGGAGGCCCTTCTGCTGACAGGCAGCACCTCCTCATCTGAGTCCTCATCAGAGTCCATGGTGTACACTCTTCTCCTGCCTCGAGTCTTCGTCTTTCCTCTGGCTTTGGGCGTTACCTTCAATTCAGACAAAATGGATTGGATTTGGATCTCCATTACATGTAGTGACACAACATTCACTATTTCATTCTTGGAGTCCAGCAAAACAAATTATACTTTGTACAACAGAAAACTTCATTACCAAAAGGTGAACTCAAACTCAGAAGGGAAGGCTCAGAGGTAAAAAAGGCACAAAGGATATAAAATCAAAATATGACTTGTGGTTTCACCTTTCTTTTTCTTTCCTCTTCCTCCCAGTCACTGTCCTCTCCATCATCCGACAAGTCTTCTTCCTCCTCCTCTGCCTCCTCCCCACTCATCACCCACTCCTCATCTGCCATCCTTTTCTACAGGTTGAAACACAGCAGATTACACAAACTTGCATTCTCATGTTACAAATTCTTCTTTAATACCTTGTTAGTTTTATTCTAAATTTCATTTCAACTGCCAGACTCCCATATTTTTCATCATATGGAAATGGAACACATCAAGCTTTCTTTTTATGATATATGATAAAAAAAAGCTAATGATACACACGTACAAGAACAACAGAGACACAACAGACCAACTTCAACTCTGCAAACTTTTCGTGCAAGATTTATGTTCTAATGACAGTCAGTTGGCATTACACTTTTAAGGCAACTAGAAAAGATTTCCCCACAAACCTTTGGAGTCCTGCTGGTGGTTCTTCTGACAGAGGGGGACTCCTCCTCCTCTATTCCCAGGTCTTCTTCCTCGCTCTCACTGACGTCCCTCGCTTTGCTCCGTCCTCTACCCCGCCCCCTCCCCCGTCCCCTGCCCCTCCCCACAGCCCCACCCCTCTTCTTCGCCGGGGTGGGGGCCACCTCCTCCCCCTCACTACCGCTCCAGTCCTTGGGCGGTCTACCACGACCCCTGCCCCGACCTCTGCCCCGACCTCTGCCACCACCTCGCCCACGTCCCGAACCACCTGCACAACAAATAATGACAAATAACTTTATTGTACAACAATTGTACAGGGTACAATGTATGGCATCTACTAGTATATACTGACTACATTTTCATAAGGCTAACCTAACTAATACAAGAGTGGTTGGCTACTATAGGATAGGTATGAACCTGAAGGAATTTCTAATGAACATTGGAGGAATTTTTAGTCTTTAATACACATCCCTATGTATACCATGCAGGGGAGAAATGACACGTCAACTCAACTCCTTTTCAACCAGAAACAAGAGATTTTAGATTACTGGAAGTATGCAATCCTTGCAATTTGCTTCCTGAATTCCCCCAAGTTGACCTGCTGTGTCTTAGTCAGATCCTTAGACCCTTGACCCCGTCATTCTGTCAATCTTCTCCAAACCACTCACCTGCACTGTCAACCTACTCTGTCCTGACATGCAGGTACACAAGCCCACAGCTCAGTCAGTCACAATACTTTTGTATGCATAAGTAAGAAATGCTGGGACAGTTATGAACACAGGAAATGCCTGCGAGTTAAAGAACAACATCTGTGGGAAAAATGAACCTCATTATCTAGAGCAAGAGTCATTGCAGGAGAAATGTCAGTTCATTGGTCCAGGATTGTTCGTAATCATTGGGCATCCTGCAAAGCCAGTCAGACACTGCAAACACAACCAACTGCTGTGTAGCAACTTTTTGGCAACCTGGTGATCGTGATATGATTTGATATAACATTAGATGATGAATAACAAGATGCTACATACAACTAAAGCAACCTCATGAATGATTTACCAACCATACTAATGCTTAACATTAAATTAGAGCTGGTATTGGCTTGTCCCAAGGAAAATGGTATGCAGATCCTCTCTGATAGATGATACCTTGCATTAGGGGGAAAGTTAAGAGCATGACTTTACCTCGTTTCGCGGGTGTACTTGTGACTTCCCCGCCAGTTCCCTCAGCTCCAGCGGCGTTGACAGGTGGCAGCCTCTCCATCCACTCAGGAAGCTTCCGTTTTCTCTCCAGCGGCAGGGCCACTTCTCTGTTCCCTACTTGTGTTGTTTTTGCTTTCTGCATTAAAGCAGCAAAAAGATGACCATAAGTTGTGTTATGTTTCCCAAAAGCTGAATAAAATGGACCAGGTGCACACAGTCTCACTAGTAGAGGGATAAATCTCTTTGAGTACTCTAGCGGACAGGAGAGTACTAAGAGAGTACTCATCACAAAGGACAAGACCAAAAGAGAGCTGGAAGAGCTCTGTCCCCACAAGAAGAGACTCCAAAGAGAACTGCTGTAGATTCCTTCTTGACACCTAAGGTTGGACCCCCCTCAGATATCATCAATTGTTTTGAACAATAGATAATTAAATGGGGATTAATGTCTAACCCTAACAATAGAATGACAATGACATAAAAACAACATCACAGCAGCCATGTTTTCACAGGTAATTTTGAAAGAGACTTTTCAAACAATGGGAAATTTATGTAACAAAACAGTTGTAAAAAAGAGACTTGTAACAGACTGCAAGAGATCTGAGATAGAATTTGGGAGAACAATGCCTAATCCAAAGAGAACTGCTGAGTACTCAATTGTCCGCTAGAGTACTCAGAGAGATTTATCCCTCTACTAGTGTCTGTGATGCAAGCAAATATAAACAATTCAAAGTCTTTGTTGCATTTCTACATAGTGTAAAGCCTAAAACACAAGATGAAACAGTTGGTGAAGAAAATACATCTATTATCTACTACAAGGTGCACATGTGCTTTTTGTGCAGGTCTAGACATGTTTTACCTGTGAAGGTGTCTCCTGTGACATGGCAGGACTGGGCAGCTTTTTTCTCTCCTCTTGGCTTTCTGCAGCTCCATTGGTCGTGGAGAGGTTCTCTGGTATTCAAGATATGTACACGAAGGATGTTACATTTCAGAGTTAGTGAACACTTCCATACGTACCCCGGTATAAGGATCATACAGTGTTCTTCATTCCTCTACAGGAGATACTGTAATATAATACTTAAAGATGTGCACATCCCTAATTCAGTAATTGGGCATTAACTAGGCCCTCTTGCATCTTGAACTAGTATCACTACATACATTGTACTAAACTTCTGCCACAGTGCATAAGTGGGAAAGAAGTTGTGCCAGGAACATGCCCTTTGACTCTTGAGAGCTAAACCTAGCAGAATGTGTTTCTATGGTATTAGGACATTTCTCAGCCATGATATTTCCCTGTCACATGATACTAGTAGTACTAGTAGCTAAATTTCTGTTGTTACTAGTAGGGTTAGGGTTGAGGTTAGGATTTGAATTAGGGAAGGGATTCATCATTGAGGTAATGACTAGCATTAGAGTTAGAAACAGGCATCTCCTTGACCGCAAAACATCTTGGCGGCAAAACATCTGCTAAGCATTTCTATCCCTTGGCCAGCAACCCTGGCTTCTTACCTGTGTTCTTAATGTCGTCGTCTCCAACATCTTCTGGCTTCTTTTCCTCCTTAAGGGGACATCTCATTGGAAGATCCTTTGTTGTACTTTTGATGTCTTCATCTTGTTTTGCTGGGCTTGTAACTTCTTCTTCCACTTTGACACTTTCATCAGCATATGTGCCAACATCACTGAGAAAAAAAAGACACAGGCATTCTAGATCTGGTGTCTCTCTGGTGTAACATCTATTATTATCAAGACAATGTTAATACATGTAGGACAGGCATATAAATGTGCCAGTGGCAGATGCAACTACAAACAAGAAATCTGAGATATTTCAGACTTCTGGGAAGTATTTTGAGTTTTCATGGCTTTCAAATTCACTGTCTGAGACCTCTGGAACCTTCTGTATACTACTACAGCATTATGATAGGAAATGGTGGTAGATAGGGAACTGTAAAAGCCTCAAAAATAAAACCACCGCAAAATTAAGCACTTAAATACAGTACAATGAGAGAGGGACTTACCTAGCTGCTGTTGTCTTTCTGAAGGTGTCAGAGATGATCACCTCAAACACAAAGGTGTTTGGTAAGAGGGCAAACTGGTCTCCATGCTGAAGATCCTTCCACTGGTCTTTAGGCAATGGTTGGAGAGAATCACCATCCACAGACTTGAAGAAGCAAGGGTTGACATGGATCTGTAAAAACAAGAAATTAGAGATTGCTGAATCCCAGAGAAACATACAAACATACACAAACCCACAGCTCAAACACCCAAAACAATACTTACGTACCCAGAAGTAACAAAGCAATTATAAATATATTATAACCAACATCATCTTGGATTCAAATTAATGTCACCTGTCTCATCTGCTCATGACAGCCTTAAGGGCACTTTTATGTCATTATGCCAATGACAATAAAACAGGTAACATTACAACAAACATTACCACAAGGACCACAAGAAATTGGAGATTTCATACCTCCATGAAAGACCTAGAGGTTTTTTGTGACTTTTTTGTTTTAGTCACTTATTACATTTGTGTGTGTGTGTGTGTGTGTGTGTGTGTGTGTGAGTGTGTGTGTGTTTGTGTTTGTGTTTGTGTGTGTGCATATGCATGTGTGTGTGAATGTAACAATGTAACATTCTCTGAAATTTTGAACTTTCACTCACTGGTTTGAGCCTCAGCTGACCACTGGACACATCCAGGATGCCGTGAGACCTGGACACACGTTTGTCTGTAACCTGAAAAGAGACTTGATTAGATAAACCACTGTGACAGTATTTCAATGTATTGTTATGTTATCTTTGAGTTTGACTTTGATGCCTGTTTAATGATTGGCTGCCTTGGCATGTGCATCTCCCAGTATTTATCATTTTACTGGTATGCTGAAAAAAATCATGCTGCATAGTAATGGTCCATTTGTTTAATTGTTAACAGTTTATCAATATTTATGTTTACCGAAGGAAAACATATTGCTTTTGCTATGTATATGTTTCCTCTTCCTCCATTCCAAACACTGACCTCTGACCTGGCCAATGACCTGATTTGTTGATGTCTCTCACCATGGTAACTGGTGTTGGGTTACATATTATAAATGTTGCAATTTTATAGTAAGAGGGATTTATACTCCTGTCTGACCATATATATGAATGTATTTGACTCTAATTTTGAGTAAGAATTAAAAGAGCAGGCCATATGCGAAGATAAATATAAGCATTAGCTTTGCAAATGTTACCTTTCTAGTTTGTACCTAAGATCATGTTGCAGTTCTTTAACATAATTCACTGTAAATATGTTTACTTTTGCAGTGATTTTATCTTGCAGCATGAGGGGAAAAGGGAGTTTTCCACTGCGTTTCGTTGATGTTCGCAGTTGAAAGAATTCTATTGACGTGGAATAGAAGTACAGAACACATAATCGCGATGCTTTGGTTAGATGGCAAAGAAGTCACCGCGACCATTTCACGATTTACAGTACATCAATCTAGTGCTGTGCAAATTGTCATGTGACTAACGTTAATTATGTAACAGTTGCGTTTCACCTAAACACTATCAACACCATGTAATTATAATGTTGGGTGGTGCATGTTGGGTCTTCACTGTGAACATGTGGAAATTAGACCCTAACCAAACATAAATTTGTTTACTTGGTTTACCAGCTCTATTAGCCTAGACGGCTGAGGTTAGTGTACGTCAAGTCCACATAAACAAATATGTTAATATGAGGTCAAGAGGAGAGCTTACCCCCAAAAACGGCCCCCTGCCGACAATAGTCTCGCCCAGCGGGAGCAAAATGGGACTCCCGCCCTCCACTGGCTTCAACTCTATTCCCGACATAACGTCTGAGCGAGCAGTTTTATCCTTGCAGATACAAACCAAAACAGAGAAGGCGGGACTGACCCTAGAGGCACGCCATCATGAAAACAGACGCGGGGTGATTGACTTCCGGGTTGATGACGTCACAAGTTGGACGAGTTCAAGCTCAGGGGGATTTACTCAACACGGTGTTAACGTTACCAGTGGTTATGTCAAAGAGAGTACCCGTTGTTGCTTGTACGCGTATTAACTGGTGTTAGATCTCTTTGTATCTTTTTAACGTCTTGCTTTCCGAAGTCATCTTCCTTTCCTTGTAAATGTTAATTATTTCCCTCCCCTCTCTGGTTTCATCGGACTTGGAGAGGGTCAGTCAGCAGAGACCTCTTGCGAGGTTAGAGAGAAGCACATGACTTTTGTACAATATGTTCATGCATGGAGTAAAATTAAGGGTCAATGATCCGCATGGTGGTGTATATGGTGTGATAAGGCCTTGTCAGTTGCTATAACCACCGAGTGAGCGGAGTGAACGTTACGAGGTTTTATTCGGTGGTTATAGCAAATGACAAGACCTAATATCACACCATATACACTGAGAAACAGGTGGGTCATTAGCGGTTATCACCATATAGCCCAATAAGCCCATCATAACAATTTCCTCTAAATGGCATTACAAACCGTTACAGTCACTTCCCGTCCGCTGGTTGCTGTTCCTGTGCATCTCCCGATTTCAGTCACTGACCCAAATACTGCGTCTAAATCGGCCCCAGTCAGATCTTCAACGACCTTGTGATTACAGTGTTCCATTTGGCGCAAAATAACAACCAGTCGACGGTCCTGTCGCGATTTTCGACTCTTTCAGTGTTGGATGTGGATGTGTGTTGTCCCTGTCCCCATATAGTCTCCACCAGACTCCTTTGCAGGCCATTGAAATAGTAGAAATCGGCATGAAAAGGAATGTAATTGTCCAGGAAATTTAGCTATAAGTGCATGGAAATCATGAAATACCTCTATTCATATCTTTATTTTTATTTTTAAGAACACTCATGCATAGTATCATTTTACTATTGATTACTCTTCAGAATATGTTATTGTTGTTCCTTGTTCCGTCTGTTTCCGCAACTGTGATTGCTTTTTGCCGCCTTCAAGTTTGCGATTGCTTCCATTTCAGCTTGATGACTTAAGTGCTTTATCCACGTAAATGCAAAGTGCTCTACATGGGTAACATGCTCCACATGTTATTCTGATGACTCTAATCTCCAGTCCAAATGAGAATGTAAATGGCTACATTTTTCCAGCCATTAGGCCACAGCAAGTAAATTTGGTGGATGAGATCCAAACGCATTGACTTTCGCCTAATTTTGAAAACGGAAACAATACAAATATTTCGTTCCTCTCTGCTGGTGACATCTCAAGTACAGTTGAGTGAAGTTGTGGTGATACCAGGCAATATATATTTAATAGCTACCACACGCGTTTTGAATACCGTGATAAAGTCGTTGGATGTAACATTTTCGTCGCTTCAATTCTTGTCACAACGTTGACGGTATCTATTTTAAAAAAAATAGGCATCTTGTTTTTACCAATCATGTTTTTTTTCGTACTCTCGCATTGCCTTTGGAGTCTACACCTATGCCAATCATAAAATTTATTTGCCGAAGCCTTAGTATGACAGATGACAACATTAGACGAGGGTAGATGAGACCATTCGTCGTTACCACTGCGTATTGCTCAAATAGTGACGAATCGGATAGTGTTTATCCTGTGTGTGTGTCATTCTGCCGAAGGAATTTTGGACAATATTTGTGTTTTAGTTTGCGGTTTTATAAACGGAACGAACGGAATGTCTATGGCATCATTTTCACATGTGCCACCTAGCATGGCTATAGTATAGTATAGTATAATAGCATAGTAGTTATCATGTTCCCCTTACCTGTTTATGATATTACATATCCACTCTTGTATACGTACTTTATTAGTTTTAAATAGAGATAGAAAGTTAGATTAGTAGATCGCAGCACTTCATGTTAGCATATAGTTTTATACCACTTCTCAATATATCCTGTACACATTGTCTATGTCTGCTTGCAACTGGCCCTCGGGCATGAACTTGCGATAAAGAACTCAACTCATTTATTATTCATGTGGGACAATGTGACCACTACACACCGGCTTACACAATGTATTAGCCAATATCACCGCGACCGATCGAATTTTCTCATAACCTCTGTGTACGGGGCTTTGGTTTCGGGGTGTCTGAGTGTTTGCTTGTGTTTCCGTACTAAGCACGTCGGCAACGTAACACAGAAAGGTCCCAGAAAAGGTTATCTTATTTCCTGTCCTCAATTTCCTGCTACTGGAAGACAGAATCACCTGTTCCTGACGTATTCCATGTGGTTTGAAGCTCGATCGTCCATC